TATTTTGGAAATATTAAATAGAAATTTTTAATAATAAATCAAAATGAAGTTAAAATTAAAATAAAATTCTCGTGATTGATATTAAATAATTCGTTAAAAAGATAGTAAATGGTCATTTGATCGTGAATAAAAATTTAGTTTCTTCTTTACATTATTATTATGCATTTTTTAACACTATTGAAAATACTGATTTAATAATGCGTTATCATTATTGAAATCGTCGATCATTATTGCACTATAACGTGTTAAACGAACAAATACATTCAGGGATAAATAACTCATTTAACGAACGAAATTATTTGAATCTGAAATTAATAAATAGCAGAATTATAAATGTAAATAATTTATCATGCAAATTTTACGTTAGTCTCCCATGTAAAAATACTGGCGGATAAATTTATGGCAACTTTTATGATGGCAGAAAAACTGTCGAAAGCACTAAATATAAATAAATGTATCATACATTTTAGACACACATATTTCACATATTGAGATATATTCGTTATATAAATAGATTTTATAATATTAATAAGATATTTTTTTACACATAGAGGACTTTTTATTTAAAATTTTTATTAATATAATATATTAGCATAATTCTCTCTTTTCTAATATAATTAAATGCAAATAATTATATTTAGAGAACTCTTTTCGTATGTGCATATATAACAACTGTTTCTTAATTAATAAGAAACTGGATCTGGATTTTTATCGCACAACTCATTTTAAATATTAAAAATTTATAAAAGTACATATTTTTTATCTAATAAAAAATATTTAGTGATCTAATTTTGCAACATCACTAGAATGCATGATAGAAAATTTATGAAAATTGTATTTCGTGGGACTCGAAATGAGCTTGCCGTCTTGTACAGCCGGATTGCTCGGAGAGTCGATGTCGATTATATGAAACCAGCAACGTCCATATCCACCCTCATCCTGATCCCAGGTGCTTCCTGGGAAACAGCTGCCATGGCGCACGCGCCTCCGCGCCGACGAAGCAGTGATTGATCAATTTTTAAAAAGCAATGTTCCTAATTGACCCGCCGCGCCGGTTTGCTTTACGGCAGGCCGTTTATATCTTACGAGAAGGCATCAAGTCAGGGCGTCTTAGTCATCGAAAGGTGTGTTCAACTGCGATTCATGCCAGTTGCTCATCTACAGATCTACCATTTCGAATCCGCTAGCCAACAAAATATTAATATCGATCATCGCTCATCGATTAAACATCGTTCATTAGCATATTAAAAACTGCCTGGAATATAAAATGTTTTAATTCGAGAATACTGTCGTAATTGGAAAACTTCGATAAATTTTTTATAAAATTATTTACGTCATGAGAGAAACACACGAACAGTAAAAAACGCGATTCAAAGTTAGTCCGTCTTTCATTTTATGTCACATTCCTTTTTAATATTTTTCCTTTGCGTATATAATTGTTGTTGTTTTCGAGGAGTTAAATATTAATTTTTATATTCGATTATATTGTTGTTTTCGAAGAGTTAATTATTAATAATTATGATCGCTTAGAAATTTAAGCATTAATTAATTTATGCGTTATATAGTCACATCTTATTATAACTATATAACATCATGCAATATAATGCATTTTAATATAATTAATATAATTATCATTTTAAATAATTAATACAATTTAATCGAGGAGGAGTAGATATTGTATTTCTAATATTGATGCTAATATTGATATTTGATTAGTAAATTAACGAAAACATCACGAAGTGAATAGGACATTGTATTTTTATACTGCTTCAATTACATTAAACATTTTTAATACTTTGAAAGTTTTAACACTACGAGCACCGAGTTTATGGAATTGGCAAAAATATAAAGCTCTGGCAGCCACGACCTATCGATTCTACGTATGACAGCGATTATCAAATGAATTACAGTAGTGCATTGTCTCACGTGCTATGCAATAAATGATGCTAATTTCATCGTGTCATATCCTGCCTCACGTTGAATCAAAATCTCGATGTATTTTCGAGCGATAATTTCCGCAACGATTGTAATAATAATTATTGTGTTACTTATATTGGAAAATTATATGGAATCAGAAAAATTTTATCAAAATTATTTTTACAAAATACGCTAGAGAAATTGTAAAAGAATATACTGGAAAATTCGTAAAAGTTAAACATCAAATATCATAGTAATTAATATAAACAAGAAGTTTTTTTAAGCTAAAATATTTCTATTATAAACAAATAAGCTATGAGCTTTTTAATGGAAGATTTTTTAAATAAAAGAACTTATAATTATCGGTGTACCTTGTAAAGATTATTAATACTGTATTGATAATAATTATTAAATTTTTCAAGTCTATCTAGATGTGTGTCTAGTTTAGAAACGCTTGTTACCGTATATCGATTGTTTCCAAAAACAGATTTACCTTGGAGATGTCATTTACCTTGGCAGATGGACATGAGATTAATTGCAATTGTAGATATTCCTTCTATTTTTGCATTAGGTATTAACGTTTTGCATTAGGTATTCTTTCTGTTATTCCTATTATCCAAAATGATATGAAAGACGAAGTTATTTATGTGTATGTGGTTTGTATGCGTTTTTGCACATGTACTATGCTGAAGATATTTTAATTTACAGAATTATTATATACATATGGTACTAATTAGACGTATAATTTGTTGCGAACGCGTTATTTCTTTTGCATTATTGCAAAAAATTCTGCTATCAGTCGTAAATTTTTTAAACACATTTTAATAAGAGAGTTAATTAAATATCATGTTCAAACTTTTACCGTACATACATATTGCGATACTTGTAGGCTGCTTCTAGTTGCTTTAATGTTAAGTTTCGATTCAGGCGAATAAAAAACTCGATTGCTCGGCTTTCCGGTATCGGACATGCACGTCGAACATACTTGTTCGCGGGTCGTTATTTCGTAACAGAAGTCATTAGCATCCGCTCGCGTTAATTAACGGAAGTTCTACCATATGTATATAGGCTTGATGCATCTGTGGGGTAGGGGGTGTACGTGATAATGCGCGATTTGCGCGTAGGTAATCTCTCTCTCTCTCTTTTTCTCTCGTGCTTTTTCCCTCTTCTCTGTAACAGCGAATTATCCACGGGCTTTTAGCCGCGGTTTCATCGCAGTTCTACCGTGAAATCGACACGCCCACGACCGAGAGACGATTTGTCGGTGGAGTGAAGACGAGATGTGCGCCAAAAAAAAAAAGGGCGGCCAAAAAGCAACGCAACTGTGTTTCAGAAGGAGCCTAAAAATTGATAAAAATAAAATCAGCACATTGCGCATAATTTTTTCCGCGAGATTATCGTGTCAAAAGTTTACAAATGATGACGGTATCTGGCAAGAAAAATATGAGTTTATGTATGCGAATATATGCACATATCATGTATGCATAGGTATATGTCTGATTTTATAAGGATGTAGTGAATTTTATGGAGATGGAGGAGAGCGTGTTCGATTCTACGCCACTGACTGATATATAGACGCTGATTCGGTCCCAATGCACTTAACACCATCCAGCTCTAATGCCATTCTCTCGTCACGAGCGTCCATCCTTGAGAGTCAAGAGACCCGCCAGCTGTTACGAGCCTCCGACAAATATCACAGGAGGATAAACGTTAACTTAGCCAAAAATGACATCATTGTTCATGTTCAATTAAGATTTAACAATAAGAAAGATAAGATTACATATAAGAAGACATCAAGAATGCGAGTAAAAGATCTTTTTTATCGTCGAGTTATTTAAAATCACTATAATCATTATAGATTTCATCTAAACAGCTTATTATATACAATACTATACTAGCTTATTTCATACAACAATTAACAAATTAAAAAATTATACTGACTTTCTTGTCGACAAGACACCAGGACTTAAAATAAACGTAAAATTGACGAATATTGCTAAAATTACTCCACGTGCCTTTAATCGACAGTAGGCGACGAATTAAAGATCGCAAAAGTCGTCTCGCGGATCGTAATATTTATCCGAATACTCCGAAATCTCTTAAGTTTGACATCAAGACGCCTTCGAGTGCAACGATTGCTTCATGGCAATACCTGAGGTGTACACTGGAGCGTGTAAATCCCATATATCCAATTAGATTCGTATAATCCTCGTATGTTAGCCGAGGGTGTACCTACCCCCTCGGACCGCTACCCCTCTTGGCCTCCGCCGCTCTTCTCTCCATGCGTGTCCCGCCGTTACGTGTGTGCGTCTGTGTGTGTGAGGTGGCGCAAGCGCGCATCCCGCGCTCTAATACTAAAGTACTAATTTATGGGCACATATGAGATGGCTATAGTGCGCGTTACCGTGCCAGAAAAGGACTATAGTCTGCGGAGAAGGACGGGAACGAGAGAAACAGAGAGAGAGAAACTGTACTGCTAGTGGTGGTACGTCGGCATTGGTGGTAGTAGCGAGATAGGGCGAGGGTAGGTAGGTATATCGGAGAACACAGAGGCGGGCTTTGCATGCGATATCAATAAATCAAGTCCCCGGGACCCCGGCAGCTTAGGGGGCCACTACGTGGCCAGAATCAACAGCTCATAACGTCGGCTAATAGCTACCCGCGGTGGGGTCGAAGATATTGTCGTAACACCGAGGGACACCTTACCGTCGCAATGGTTGGATTTGGCCGCGTCCTATTGAGGGAAAAAAAATGTTATCGCGGGTGAGGGAGGACGGGCAAGGAAATTATCGAAAATATACGATTCTCGATCATGTCAGACACTGTGAAACAAATAACGCTTTGTTGCGAGAATAATAATGGACTCGATGACTATCTCCCTGCTCATCGACGAAACGTTAAACGGGAATTGGATTGGTCTTTTTGATCGATCGATTCAAAGTTCTTTATAAGACGATAAAATAAGAGAATAATTCGTGTAACGCAAACACATGGTGAGAATTATAAAATATCTTTGTAGCTAGAATTTTATGGAGAATTTCGAGGACTTTTTTCAGATTATCTATCCGTTTTGTATACTACAGGTATGGTTTCAAAATCGACGAGCCAAATGGAAGAAGCGCAAGAAGACGACCAACGTGTTCCGGTCTTCGGGATCGCTGTTACCGTCGCATGGCTTGCCACCCTTTGGACCGATGAGCTCCGACCTATGCAGCGGAATGTTCCATACCCCCGCGGACAGATGGGGAATGGGGACAGGTCAGATATCAATAGTCAGTTTTATTACTAACCGTGTACATACATGAAATGAGAGATAAAAAAAAAGATTACCTGCCCGCTTACATCGGAAAACGATGTAAGCTCTCTTTCTCGACCGCTTGTATCGTTATTCGCGATAGAAAATTGACGCATTTATTATATTCCGATGTTTAAAAATGATGTATTTATATGGGAGAGTTTTCTGAATTCCCTTTAAAAACGTCATTTTTTTCTGTCTGAGAGAATATTTTCTGTCTGATTATCGATTTCACAAGTTATTGGATCATTAAGAAAGCGTCGATGTATTTTATAATGTATGTATTGTGTATAAATACGCAATTTTGCTATCGAGACAATATATATTTCTGCATAAAAACAAATTGACTTACAATCTTATCAATCAATTTTCGTTTCGTTTTATTCCACGAGTTTAAAAAATATGGTGCCTTATGTAAATATATTGGAAAGATTTCCTGGATAGAGAAAAAAAATATTTTATTTTGCTTAAACAAATCGTTTTATAAGTACATTTTAATTGATGTCTTAAATTGATCCATCTTATAAAATATTTATACGATTTATTTTGATAAATGTTGAAGAAAATGTAAAGAACTAAGAGAAAGATTTTAATAAATTCGATATCCATTTGTAATAATCTTTTTCACGAGAAAAAGAATAGTCGAAAAAGATTTTAAACATCTCCATAAATAAATAATTGTATTAAATATCAAGTAGTTAATTTCTTCACAAATAATAAAATATTAACACATGATGTGTCTAAAAGATTTTTGTAATTTTTTTATATATTCTCCAATGTGTAATGTTTCAAATATATTTAGTTTTAACTTGTATCTTTTTCCTGAGAAAAAGAATAGTCGAAAACATTTTTAAACATCTCCATAAATAAATAATTATATCAAATATCAAATAGTTAATTTTTTCACAAATAATAGAATATTAACACACGACGTGTCTAGAAGATTTTATAATTTCTTTATGTAATCTCCAATGTTTTAAATATATTTAGTTTTAATTTATATCTTTTTCTTGAGAAAAAGAATAGTCGAAAGAGATTTTAAATATCGTCATAAATAAATTATTGTATTAAATATCAAGTAGTTAATTTTTTCACTAATAATAAAATACTAACATACGACGTCTAGCAGATTTTTATAATTTCTTTATATAATCTTCAACATGCAATGTTTTAAATATATTTAGTTTTAATTTTTTATATCCTTTCCTTCTTTCTAATTTATAGTGACGTGCTTTTAAATACACATTCTATTTAAAAAAATGAAAAACTGCGATTACATTTGAATGAAGATGTAACAAAGTCGAAAAAATTCAGAAAGACAAATACTTTTTCTTACTTAATGAAAATACATTCCCCATATTTAACTGCAATCTATCGCGTCATTTAATCCACGATATGATTAGCATCTTATATGTACATTAACAGGAGAAGAAGCAACGCGATGAAGAAGGAAACACCGATTCTCTCGTAGATGAAATCGCGACAATCGCTCGTCTCCTAATTTAATTTCGCCCGTCCACGCTGTTCGAGACAGCTGAAATTATTTGTATATTATTGGCCCCACGGTTGTTCACCGACGACGACTCTGACAAGCAGCCTTTTCCATTTTTTGAGAACTCTGTGTCACGCATGTAATCTCACATTTTAATTGCCCATTGCGGTAATTTAGCTGTAACTCACTCGTCGTTCCACAGGTCTCGGGCAATTACAGGGCGGCATGGCGATGGGTAGTTTCGGCCAGCTCGGTCAACAAAGCACGGGAAGTCTGGGTTCCAGTCTGAGCCTCAGCAACTCCGGACTGCCGATCAACAGCCCGTCGCAATCAGTTTACCATACTAATTACGGACTCAATTCTATCGGTAAGTTTCATGAGAAGCAACGTTTGCAGTTAGAGTCTAAACAGTAGAAACGTGACGAAAAAACGATATATTATGTACTGTTAAATATGATAAAATATTATTCTTTTTACCGTAAAATTAAAGGAATATCGATATCATAGATTAAACTCGCGACGACAAACATCGTTAAATTTATTAACGTCAATTTGCTCATCTTTATTATCATTTACGCGCTCTCAAAAATGTAAGTTTTAAAACGTTATTATTTTAAGTGCAAAACAAGTGTTGTACAGTTACATCTTTTGCTTCAGACGAGATTTGAGTAACGTTTTACGCGTGTAACGTTTTGCTTATTCAAGTAACATGACTTGCTGAGACTTGGCGACATGCGCGAACGCGAATAGACACACCCAGGAGAACGTTCGCGTCAACCTGGCCGCTTATATACGCGTTGATAATCGTCTTGCCAAACTTTTGGACCGTGGTCCTCTAAAAGACGGCGTGCAAACAGCGTCATGGAAGTCTCTTTGACGAAGTCGTTAAACGTTACGGTGCATTAAGGTTCGAAGGGGTTATGCGCCTGCACGTAAGGAATTTGAGACAGAAACATAAACCCCGTCCTCCCATCTATTTACGCAGGTAGACTTCAGACCCGATCTCGCACCTAGGTGCGAGATCTTTCGCTGTATGTTTACCATAACATCCCGATGCAACCTGTCTTGGTTGAGTTACGCTTCGCCTCACCCAAGGGGACCTTGTATCTTCAAAGATACTTCATGGGATAAATCGCATGTGAAATTCCTTCTTTCACCAAATCGCTGTGTGCCTCGGTCGTAATTCTTGTATCAAGTGCGAAAATGAGATTTTTTTTTTCTTCATTCATAGAAGTGCGCATACTCTTTGCGAAGTATGTCGTACGACTTATTATTCTCAATAATTCGAGACAAACATTTTAACAAATTTGAATTTCAATGTTAAAATTTGCAAACGTTAAGATGAGAATTATGAATTTTGGACTACGAGCTATTAAATACGTATAAGATTTACACGTTTTAACTTGACGCACATTATATGTATCATACATTAGAATCTGAATATCTATGTATGAATAATAAATTGAAAGCTATATTTGTTTTTTTTTTTTCAATTGCAATAAGTCGGATTTCAACGCTCATAAACCGTAGAGAAATAACGAACTTGCGAGATGATAACGAGAAATCCAATAATAAGAAAACAGTCTCGCTGTTTCCTTTCATAGAAAATTTTTTCGCTTCATTTTTTTTTCATCCCCCAGTAGCTAATAAATCATACTTAAGGAGAGACGTTGTAAACGAGAGTATCGTTTTTATGCGTATTGGTACACTTAAATCATTGGCATATTTTGTTTTGTTATATATCTTGCTAACACAGGTCATCAACCCTGAAGACGAATCTGTCTGATACAAATTCTATTCAATAAATATAAATTGAGAAAAGACGAGTGGCAACAAATATTCGAGTTTACTAGACTTATACATCATATTGCCGCAAAAATTGTATCGGATATAGCAATCACTGATTCAGACGATGTAGAATCACATAGAGACGTGATAATCTAAAACTGCATTTATATCAAACTCTCCTAAAAAAGCGAGGCTTACGGTAAAAATCCGGCAAAATTTCGCAAGCTGAGTATTGTGAGTAAAGTGTACATTTAGATCATACATGTGTGTGTCTGTGTCTGTATGGAAGCGCACGTAACGCTTATACGGTGCCAATTACCGAACGTTATCGCCATGTAGCGTCACTCGGGAGGAGAAAAAAAAAAATTGGCATTCCACGAGCGCGTCGGTGTATGTGGCTCTGAGGTGAATACGTCTAGCCTAAGCCTGGCAACCCACTGTAACGCCTTTATCCGCGGATAATGCTTAGAGCAAATAGCTTTTAGAGTAGAGCGTTACTTTTCGGTTACCGATGATGATTAGCACTGCAATGTAACCCAACCAACGGCATGGTGCGGTTCCTAGGCGATCGGAGAGTTTCCATTTGATGTCTCTTTCTTTCTCCCTCTCCCTCTCTTTGTCTTTTTGCCGGCGGTCACAAGGCGCCAACAAGCCTCATAATGCGTAAATTAACGTTTCAAAACGCCTGATTTTCAGCACACGCTGCCGCGAACGGTGCGCAAGTCGCGTATCTTGCTCAACAAGTCGTATAATTTCTATAAAAATTTAAATTTTAATGTCTCTTTAAAAACATAGCTTCTTAAATAGAAGCAATATATTATCACTCATAAGCAGCAGTTTTAGTTGTAAGTATTGAAAATTGAAATCTTATTGAGAAAAAGCATTAGTGACTGATTTTTCAATGAAATCTAATTGCTATAATTAATGACAAGACCGAGGAGCAAATGTTTTTCACTCAAGATGAAGTAAATGTTTTCACTGACTTTCAGTGAAATCTTGTCCCTGCTTCAATCAGTGACATTTTCGCTGGTTCACTTTAAAAGAGTATTTATCTTTGCACACACACACAAATAGGAAACACATACTTTATGCCGCGTATCGCCTTGTTTTATGTACATTTAACTTTGAACGTCGAGTCATACATTTGCCTTGTACATCCCCAAAACTTCGGACCAACTATTCTGCACAGAATCATCGTACCAGCCGACAATAAGTCATAAAATCACGTACATCTCGTAGCTATTAGACGTTCATTCTTTCGTACGGCTTTTCAAAAGCTACCGCTGCCGCTAGTCCTCTGCAAACTCGTGTTCGGCGCAACACAGTGTCATAAAAAAAAATTTTCCTTTTCTCCCTTGTCTTTCGAGCCCACCAGCGTAGAGCGCGATGAGGCGGAAACGACTTTACGACGGCCGGTAGCGCATCCCGCGCGCTTTGTCAGCCTACCGTGTATTCAATATCCCTTGTGCAGAGAAATGAAACGTTCCCCCCCCCCCCTACACCTGCGATATTGCACCTGTAAATTGCCTCTTTTCTACCTGAATCAAGCATCTACTTCGCCTTGTCGGTAGATTCGTAGTTAACTACACGACAATAAATATTTATCCTACGTTATTCGTCAAAAATTTTTACTGCTTCCCAATAATAACTGGGAACTGTTGGGGAACATGTAGTTACAAAGTCATGGGGGAACTATTTTTGTTTAGGGCGGGGGGTAGAAGTCCCGAGATCATTTGGATCGCGCAAATTTGCATCGATGTACAAGTAATCGAATGTTTCCACGAGGAGAGACACTCATCTTTGTCAATTGCTTCCACTTGACAGGCGGCGTTCACGTGACGGCGTCTCGGGGTTCGCCACCGGTCGGCGGCCAACCGATGGGTTCGGGCCTCAACTGCGGCCAGGGTTCGCCCGGCACGACTTCCGGAGGCAGCGGCGGCGGGGGTGCCGGCAGCGGCGGGGGTGGCGGCGGCGTCTCCTGCGTCGGTGCCGACGTAAGCGCGAACGAGGCGTCGGACTGGAGAGGCGCCCACAGCATCGCGGCGCTCAGACGTCGTGCCTCGGACGCCTCGCAGCAAGCCTACAGTCCACAATCAGCGCCGCCGCCCCCAGCACCACCTCAGTATTCCCATGATCTGGAGTACAGTTCCGTTTATTGAGACATCGCCTGAACGTCCTTTGACGTTCAGTTCCACGGGAGGAGAGGTTGCTGGCCGTCGCGGTAGGAGCTTACCGTAATTATCATGTGTGGAACGAGTACTCCTGTCTGTTCTCCGTCGAGGAATCGCAAGATAGGACGGTGCTTCTGCGAGCGATTCTACGGAAGAGATCTATCCGGTTTGGGTCGTGATTTGAATCAAGTCAAGATAATGCAGCGAGGTCAAGATCGACGATGTATTAAAATGTATTAAAATGAGAATCCTGAATTCGATTTGCGCGAGGGTCTAAAATTATTCGCCGCTTTGAATTTAACATAGAATCGATGGTGAAGCATAGCAAATAACGACGAAATTAAAGTGGTTAGGTAATTTTGGACATTTCGATCGGCAAATGTTCAGCTCATCGCCGCAAGGGTTCATAATCGTTTGACTATTATGACTATTTCATCGCGATGAGAATTTCTATTCTTCAAACAACATGAATTCATCGTCCTGTCAGAAGAAACAATTGCAGGAATAATATGAAGAATCTACACGAAAGGAGTACTCTTCTATAAATTCGTACAGAGGTAAAATCAGGGTAGAAAATCGAAGTTGCTGGCGACAGACAGCGAAAATTTATGCAATACAGATTCTCGTCATCATAGCCTTCCCAGGACCATAAAGTAAACGTATCGATCCTTGAACAAGATTGATTCTTGAAAAATATGCATTTTTATAAAGTTTCTAAAGAAATATTTAAACAGAAAAAAATTTTCTAAAAAATATGATTAATATTTCATGTACAAAATGTTTTTCTCATTAAAAATCTAAATAATTCATTTTGTTTTATAAATTTATATTTTTTTTAAGATGTAGATTAAAAAAAACTTAATATTAACGAAAATGCATATTTTTGTTCAGTCTTGTTCGAGAACTGATACATTTATCTTACGTATGACGTATGTATGCCACAGTTTCTGCAAATGTATCTTGCTGATGTTAATACTGGACTAATCCTCGAATGGATGCCATAAATATAAGAAAGATAGAGTAATTGATGTAAATTATGGAGTTGTCGTAATAATTAAAATTATTCGAGACGGATAAATATTTCCGACAAGTAGTATCTAGTCAAATATTTGTTAAATTGCATAACAGATGTAAGTATCATTTAATATTTTAGCGGAGAAAATTGAACCATTGGCATAAACAGTTTACTTGCACATTATGTATCATTGATATCATCGGATTTCTCGGTTTGATTTGTAACAAGTTAATGGAAGAAATTCCTTTTCTAAATGGATTTTCTGTGTTTCGCGACGGCTGATGAAAAATTATTCGATAATATAAAGACGGATTTTACCCAGTGTTATTAAAAATTCAACCTAATCACGACAGCTCCAAATATTTCATAATGGCCAATGACTGATGTTTTCCATATGACCAGTTTTATTATAATATCAAGCGCTCTGACCACTGAAAATTTACTGCAATTATCACGAGTCCGAGTATTTCCGATTGAGCCCGAATATCTATCTATATGATTAAAATATAATCCATCAAAATATGGAGGCTATTTTTGTGAGCGATTGAACGCACTGTCCTAATAATCACGCTGAGCTGTCGACAAAGGAAGGAACGAATTGTGATCTATGATTTATGATTTTTGTGACACGTGGAAATATCGCGACACGTATCTTTCTAAAAGAGGAAAAATTAAATCGTAAACTAAGATGACCAGCTTCGCGAGTGAACTTGTCTTGGGTTGGCGCTGTGCGCTGGTAAAAAAATGGAGGGTGGCTATTTCATATAGATATGCATATATTAATATGATCACCGAGTGTCCGCGTCGAACGATTTGATCGGCTCCATGTATTCGTGCGCGTGTTAATTTATATCTCTTTCGGATGAGAAGTTTCATCTCCTTCGTATTGAGCGACACGACTTGCTTGAGCTTCAAATGCAGTCGTTAAACTCTGCTCGTTTCGCCCTCGTTAGAGGCATTTCGAGTGTCTACGCTTGTGTCTGCTAAAGAAACGTCGATGAGATTAAGGCCTCGCTAATTGTAAATTATTTAACCAGGTTTCGAAGAATGATTATGCGACAAACTGATTAGGGCGCGAATTTTCGCCACGCGAATCTTATTTACATTTGTTTCTTCTTCCCCGAGAGTACTTCTGAGCTCGACTCGGTTAAACGCGGCGAAAAATGCACATATCGCATTCACAAGTCATGGAGATCAAAGCGGAAGGCGTGGCGAGGTGCAATGAGATGTATACGACAAGTTATCCTAGTATTATATATACACGGCATTGTAAATATAGTAAAAATATTGACGTGATAGAGGATATATATTATTATTATTATCATTATTCGAATCGCGAATGCGACGGAGCTATTGGCTGCTCCTGTTCGCCGGTTGTTTGCAATGCAACGCAATATCGTCTAACGAGACTGTATGTGTGGATATGTGGTTTTGTCTCGAGAATGGTATTCTTTTGTAAAATTTCGCCATTTGTATCGTTATATTTTCGACGGAGTTCTTGAGTTTGCGCGCAATCAGTTTCCCAAAACTCTTATTTGTTGCAACAGAATCCTTGTATCAACTTTTTATCTCGTATATAACAAGAAATGAAAGGTATTTTTTAGACGAGCATAAATATGAATCTTTTATACAACACACATCGTTAACTTTAATTAGAAGCTCAGAAAAATTAACATGCGGTTTAAAAATTGTATGTTAATTAGTCTTCTAGTATTAAAACGACAGCAAAATTATTCAATGATTCTGTTGCCGAATAATGAATCGTATGTTGATATGCGCAACGAAAAGCTAGTCTTTCTTGTCACGACTTTGCGTTTCGGATGGAGATCTTGTGCAGAGACAGACGCGTATGCATAATTTATCCTATAATTTTACGGGAGCCCCTATTGAAGAGAGGAAGAAATATATTCTTCTTTTAAACAAGTCCGAGATAGAATAAGACGCATCGCGTTTCGATGATATGCATCCCCTCGGAGATAAGTGTTTCGACGATGGATACAAGTTAGCGTACAATTCATGTGTATTTATATTCCTGAAGAATTTTATGGCACGCTATAAGTATAAATTGTTCCGTTGTTGTCATCGAGAAGCAAGTTTTGTAAATAAAGTATACGTCTAATAACGATAATAACAATAATAATAATAACAACAATAATTATAATAATAATTATACAACGATAACAATAATATTAATATTAATATTAATAATAACAATAATAATATAATAAGAGTACGATGGCATCAACATTACGATTGAACGCGAGTATACATGGACATTGTGATATATTTCGAGCTGGCCGTTCATTTTTCTGACGGCGATATCGGCCCGCACAAGATATTCCAAGCGGTAGATATTGCGAGCGACTGCGAAAAGTCGATTATTCTAGTTACGAATTTACGGTAGACCTAGGTAAACCTAACGATAAATATGGAATAACAGATAGGCAATTGTCAGTGTATCACGAACGTATACGATTTTTAATGTACAAAAAAATAATGAGCGCGGTGCGCGGAGACGTTCTTTCTCGATTTCGTCCCGGGACGGAAGCAGGACTTTACAATGCTCACCGGATTCCTTATTTTCGAATGCTTCGTGCAATACTTCATCGTCGAATATGCATTCTTAGCGCATAAAGACTATTGTATTTGGTGAGCTTCACATTTTGCATAATTAAATTGACATATTGTCAATAATTACAAAGAATATCGTACGACTATCGACTAGTTGAAAGCTAATTTTCTAGAAAATTTTGATGTTCAATTAATTTGACTATCCTCGCATAAAAATGTAATCGATAAATCAGATGAAAAAATGCTATAGAAATTTTGAATATTATATATCTATGGTGCCATCTTTTTTGATTTGCTCTCAAAAAAGCAAGCAAAAATTTGAAATATATGTTGATTGATGTAATTTCTTTGATGCATTTGTATAATTGAAATGCATAAAATTCAAAATCAAGTACATATAACATAAATTGCAAGCATCTTTAATTTTATACGTCAAAAGTTAAATATTTCATACCTGTCTCTTTTTCATTAATGCGCCTATGCAAAACCAACTGGATTCGTTCCTTCCTCTTTCTAGTTTGGATTCGGATAGTACGCGAGCTCCGATCGGTGTTCTTGATGATGCTAATACCTCTCCTTGAACGAAAAAAAAAGTGAATACAATTTCTGTATTTATTTAATTTATCATGCGTGTGTGTAGATAGATTTCAGAGCGAGTAACGGTTGGCGTCCTTTAATTTGCGGCAAGTGCGGGCGTCACATTTTACAAGTGATTTGTAACATACGGACTCTGCTGATCGTACGTTTAAGTGTTTCGCGCAAAAGTCAACTAGAATCGTACAGTCCGCAGACGTCACCCGATTCTTCCAGATTCGATCGTGAATCGGAAGAGAATCGACTGACTTTATCGCATCTCTATCACAAATCATTATCGATCGTCGATGACTTTAATTAGCGGTAAATAGACAGAATTTTAATTTTCATCGTTGTATAGTTGTGTATAGAGGTCAACTAAGTGTGTATAAAATAAATCATTATCAAAATATCAAATGCCTTTTTATCTCGCTCCTATCTATCTTACCATTTTAATATTCTAATAAAATAAATAATATTAATAATTATTTAAGATTAATATTAATAAATTATAGTAATAATATTAATTAATAATTATTTATAGCCAATATATGTTATCATGTATGTACAATAGGCTGATACAAACACACAGTTTTATTTGAAAATATACATTTTTATATTTATGTAGATACATGGATTATATATGCTTTTACATTATATAGGGAATGTATTGTTGCTTGATTTCAAGTGGAAATCTATTAAAAATTAAAGTGATACTACGATACTGATCTAAACTATCACTTGTTACAAGGCGGAAATTAAATTAAATCGTGTATATATTTTATTTATTGACTTATAAATAATATACTACGATGGATATATAATGATGTTAAATCAATGATTATCGAGAAACGAGTTAGATGTAAAGTAGAAATATATAAATAATATATATTGTCTTTCATTAATTAATAATTTAAATATTAACAATACATTGCATATAATGATGGATAGATATTAAGTAAAAAATAATTTTTTTGTGTACCGATATTAATATTTATCCCACAGTGATATGTTGATAAGATGTAGTACATATAATTTAAGGATTTATGTAATATGAGTTAATGAATAATTTGGTCGTGTTGTTACGCATTTATGTGCGTTTAAATTACTATTGTCTCTGCAAGATTTTTAAGATAAAATCTGCAAAATTTTTCAGATAAAAATCAGATAATCTCATCAAATGTGTCCATATGTTTTGTGAATCTAAACTGATATAATGTAATAATTCTTTTTTTGTTCAATGAAAAATTTTAAATTTACATAGAATTAAAAATTAGTATTTTAAAATTAAGAATTATCTAATTTCAATCATTTGGTTTAAATTAACTAAACTGTTTAATTTAAACTTAATATGTTTTTATCGTTACTTTACAAACAAATTTAATGCCAATATTTTTGTGAATATTTTAACGAATATACTTAAAAGTGCATAAAGAAAATCTTTTAAAATATTTTATAATTAACTATTTGTATTATCATTAAAGTTGTCATTCATGATTTAAATTAGAAGAGAGAAAAAATTAATTAAATAATAATAAATTTTTTAAATAATAAAATAATTTATAAATGTACTAGAATAATCTTTAAGAACATAGATTAAATTGACTAATAATCTCTAAAATATTTGTATGATTTATAATTATTGATCTAAATTATAAATAGTTATACATATATATCATTTCTCATACATTTCTGTTTCTATTCTTATTCGGTTTATATCATTTTGCTAGACCATATAAAATATATTTATATTTATATATGTACGTATATGTGTGTGTTATATGTTCATACTTCAAAGTTAATTGTTAGTTTAAATAAACGGAGGTTTCACTTTCAAAACATAAGCTTATTATATTCATATAATAATATATTGCGATTAATAAAATCTTAGCATTTTTTTATAATTGATTGAATATTTGTTTCTGTTAATAATAGAATTATTAAATTACTAATTAATTATTAATATATAATGGTTATTTTGTTACTGTATTTTCGATATCTTCATAGTTTATAAATCTATCCATTATACAATTGCAATGTATAAATATTGATTTTTCCATTTCTTGTAAAACTTTGCAAATGTTTAAAATGTGCATTCTTTGGTTTCATATATCAATATATCTTATTCATGTTTTTTATATACGGATGTTGTACGCAAGAAAATAGTACAAAAAATTATTACTTCTTAATTCTTAATTCTTATATTGTTACAGAAAAGTTTAAATATGTGTAAATAAATTTCTAATAATATTATTTAAGTTAATATTGTTATAGTAACTAATATATGATGCTTGCATTAAAAAACATTTTAAATTATTTTCTCAAAAAATAGTAATTTCTTTTTCCTGTATGGTTTATGTTATATGCATACAAATGATATATATAAATATATGAAAATAATATAATGATTATGGCATGTGTGTGTGTGTAATCTTATAAAATCAATAAATTATTTAAAATGATACCTTTTTAAAATGATTGTTTATGAATTTATCTAATATGTTTTAATAAAAAGATGTGAATGATTAAAATATATAACTTCAATATTCTATATCGGAATTTGCATTAAAACAAATCACTTATTTTTTCCTATTTCACTGCTTGTTGTACTTTCATTATGCATTTAAATTTCATTATTTAGAAAAAAAACATTGATAAATTAAATTTATTAATTTTATTTTAAAAATTAAATTGTTTTCAGATTTTAGATTTTGACAAACTTTATTTGAAAAAATTATATCATGGATATAAAATTGTTTTGATATGTATGTGCATAAACCTGGTGTGTTACAGAAGAAATTGTTAAAGTAGTTTTCAATATGAAAAATTAAATATTTGTCCATCTAACAATGTAAAATACAATCCAAAAAGTTTAATGCAAAAAATTAACAAAAACAGATTTGATTTCTTTCGTTCTAATTGGATCAAAAGCAATTCTATAAAGTTATAACAAGATACCAATTAGCTTTTCATTATACAATAAAAGCAATACTGGACAATGCAAGAGTTATCTTATTAAATTATAATTATTACAAAATACATAATTCAAGCTATTAAATTATTATTTTAAATAGCTATATTAAATAATCATTTTTTAAATTATTTGTTATTTAAAAAACATTATTGCTAAATAATGCAAATCTTTTCTATATTTCTTAATTCTTTTTGTATTATTTGTGTGATTTTATGTATGTGTGCATGTTATATAGTCTTAATTATAAATTATTATATATATTTAATTATAAATTATTAAATATTTATAAATTATTTAATAAGACTTTTAAACAAATGCAATATATTCGATTAAACTCAATAATGTTTTTTTTCTCTCACTTTAAAAATATAATAAATAAATAAATATATATATAATATATATCAGGTACAATTGAGAGACTTAGTAAAAATGTAGTAATCTAAAGAAGCGATTTTATTATAGTTTAACTCACATATTAGTTTTCATTTATGCAACTTAATCTGCTCTTATAGCATTTTTTCTTTTCTTCTTTTGTCCTTTTTTTACTAAGTCTTTTGCAAAATATTAGATGTATTATAATACAATTACACAATCAATATATAATCAATTATAATGCAATATTACAATCAATATATAATCATCGACTAGATGTTATTAAAGACTGATTTTATGACAAGAATTGGTGTATTTGAAAAAAATTTATGTAAATCTTTCTATTATCAATATTAAAATAATAATTTGATGTAATAATTTTCTTTATATATGTATTATTTGCGTGATTATGTCATAGACATATTAATCTGTCTAATACTAATATGTTAATATATTAATATTAATATGTTAATATGCCTATGAATTATGTATATCATATAACCTCTATTAATTATAAATTATTAAATAAGATTTTTAAACAAATGTAATACATTGGATTCAACAATTTTTCGCTTTCTCTCATACTTAAATGAAAATAGAGTAAAATAGCAATGCTTATTACATTTTTGAAATAATATGAAAGTATACATGATAATAAAATTGGAGTAATTCAAACACTCGTATTATCTTCGGCGCAGTTGAAACGTTTGATAATGCTTCTTAATTACTTACCTAACATAATTTACTCTTGATAGATTGCATTGGTAGTCACTAAACTTATTTAAAATCGATAGTCTTTAATATATAATTAAAATTTCGTCGGTGTATGTAATAAAATAATTTATACACGTATTATAAAACAAAATGTATAGTGTGGTTTTGCAGTTACGCGTGTTAACTAACGTGTTAACTCGACTGATAATATCAAACAATCCTGACTAATATATTCGACAGTCGGTAAAGTGACGTTACTTGCTTACCGGCCGCGCAGCTGACGCGATGTCATCGGCGCTAAATCAGAATTCAAACGCAGTTGAAGGATCGCCATCACGTCGGACGGTGATGGGCGATTTTTGCGCGCGACAATTCTCGGTAATACTGTTATTCACGTAGTTTATAGTAGCCTCGACATGCATATCGCTTTAAATGACCTTCGCAAGATTGTTTTCCGGATGCTCGTCTTCCGATGTCTCCGGTTCCGTGTTTAATTTGCTGAAGTCACGAGTGTTGGGCCGCTTTTCCAGGAACTTGAAGTTCCTTCCTCGGCGATTCTCCAACAGGCTCGACAGTTTGAAATTTTCCCGTCTCTCGGCTTCCCAACGCATCCTTTTTCGCATCGTGAGTAAACATCCTGTGCAAACGAAACGTATAAATATAAATATATACATTTGCTCCAGTTTTATGCATGAAAAGTTTTCCAAGATACAGCTATGATTTGGATCGTCATAAAAATGGCGATTTGCCGTTCGTTACACAAGTTCATGCGTGATTGAAATTGACGTGATTATTTTTATAACTATATTCTTTTCATGCATAATAACCTTGTTTTATCTGATATAACATTCTTGAAATTGATATTTATCGTGGAGTAAAAAGAAGTGACTTATAAATTTCAAGTATAGAATATATATTTAAATAAATTATATTTGTTATATATATATTTTAAGAGCAAATTATTTTGAATAAATAAAATTCAGAGATATATTAATTAGAATTTCTTTTTTTATCAATTCGATGTGGGAAAGGAAAATTTATTGTCTAGATTGAAATTAGAAAATATAATAATAATAGCTAATAATTGTAAACTTCCTCTAATAATATATGCAAGAAAAGCTTCAATAATTAAATTATGATAAAAATACAAAATGTACAATTATATAAAAGTTTTAAAAAAATTATTATACATTGTTAATTTTTTATATATTTTGTAAATAAGTGATTTATTAACGTATTCACTACTTTTTACTCCAAGCATTGGTGTCTCAACATTTATGTATAAGCAATTAATGATGAAGCTTTGAACAAGTACAAGTACAGACAGAAATGATTTTTAATGAAATTAAAATATATATCTGTGTACATGAATAAGCTACACAATAAATAAATACAAAGGAAAATAAAGGGGAGACAAAACTAAAAGCTGTAGTATAATAGTAGTATAATTTATACAATACATAGGGATAATAATAATAATATATAGAGATCTAATGAAGAAAAGAAAATATACGTTTTGAACACACATAAATATTGTAGAAATTAAATTTACAGATACATGAATACATAAAATGCATAATATCATGCTTTCTAATTATGCTAAGAAATATAAATAAAAGTCTTTATATTATAAAAAAATATATAAAAGCTTTTATATAATAATTATAAAGACAAGTAATTATTATATAGAGGCTTTTATATATTTATATAATATAAAGTTTTTTATTTATATTTCTTATATAGCCTAATATATATAATAATAGGAACAACCTAATTTTGCTATTATAAAATGCTTTCATGAAAGCCTATAAACATAATTGTGTTGCTATGAAAACATATGGTGTTTTCAAATATATTTATATATATATAAATAAATAAAAATGAAATTTTTAAACAAATATATAGTTACAATTACAAACAAACATGGGCGGAGTATCATTCTTTTGTTCTTGTTATATTATATCACAAAGAGCTTACAATTAATTTTTACTAAATATTTCAATAAGCAATAGGAAGAAAGAGCATATTTAATACATATATTAATATGATACAAAAAAAAAACCGAAAGTGCTACAATAAAAAAGACACAATAAAATGAATATTTGTTTTCTATTGAACTAATTTAGAAAATTCAACTGCTGGTTCATCATAATATCTTGTTTTTCTACCTCTTTTTTGGCATCTTGCTACAATGGCAGCAATCGCGACACATATTGTAACAAAAGAAACGGCTGCTGAGCCAAGACCTAGAATTAATTTCGTCATATTAGTCTTTCCAATATCAGCATCCTTAGTATCAGGCTGTATTAAGATCTTAGATCGATGTTGTTTAATAGACTGCGAATCTTCAACATGCGTAGAATCATTTACACCTAGAAAAGAAAGAAGATAAATTTAAATGCAGATAGAAACAGATTTTAAAGAATTTTATTTAATGAATTTTCATAACATTTTTAATAATATTATACCTTGTAGAAATTTATAAATTTTGTGATTATTTAACTCTACTACGTATATTTCGGAACCATCTTCTGTCACATAAAGATCATGTGGCTTATCCATGTTTCCTTTGGGCGCAAATGTTGATAATAGATTTCCAGAATAGATATCAAGCACAAAACCTTTTACTGGTACTGGATTAATTGGATTATATGGATCCAGTCCATTGACTAGATATAATTTTTCTCGAGCATAGGCAACGCTATAAATTTGTGCACCAATAGCAGGGTGCCGGTATTCTTTATGAAATGTACCATTGTTGGCAAAAAAACATAATACTCTGCCATTTTCTCTGTCAGCAACATAAATGTAGTTCAATTCAATCGCAAGTGCTAAAGCATGTGGGACGAGAAACGCGTTTGGTGGAGGCAACTGCGAATAGACAATCTCTAAAATAAAATAAAATTTATTTTAGAACTTAATTAAATATTGTTTGCTATTAGTGTATCAATTTTATATTATTACCTCCAATGCCCCAATGTCGTCCCCAATGTAGGATACGTTTGCCATTCTTATCAAACTTGATTATCCTAGAGTTGCAATATCCATCGCTGACAAAAAAGTCACCGTTAGTATGTACAGCAACAGCAGTTGGTTTACAAAATCTTGTTTCATCATTACCAGGCACAAAAGCCTCTCCCAAAGTTATGGATGGCTTTAGTACGCTATTTTCAAATAATGCACTAGTGTGATCGCTAGACACACCTGTCATTAGTGAGTTAAACTGTGCACGTTCTTCCATGTGCTTTTCTATATCTTGAGCATTAAACTTGAATACTTGATGCATCGCCACATCAGTAATCCAATAATTTCCAGACTGATCAATAGTCAAACCATGTGGAAGATAAAACATGTTTTTTCCAAACTCCAATATTACCTTCCCACTCTTATCCAAAAGGATAATTGTATTTTGCATTATGGGTCCATTCTTTGGATTGAATTTGTTTTCATTGTCAAAAGTGTCAGGTCCCCAAATACGGTTTCCTCTATGAAAAATAGCAACATTGCCATATGGATCCATAGAAACTGCTGACATTTGAGTAAGTTTCAATTGTGCAGCCCAATGCACATCCCATTTTATGTCTGATAAAAATATGTAAAAATATAAAATAAGATAATCAAAGGATTTCTCTCAACAAATAAATAAATACATACTGTTGTTTAAAATATTTGTTGTCGATTCCTCTTTATCAAGGTGGCTATTAGCTCGTAGATATACATTATCTTTTATATATTGTTGCTCATTCAATTGCGCAAGAGATTCTCCATCTTCATTATCAGGATATTCCGAATATTCATTTGAATTAAATTTAATATCAGGTAAATGCTGTAAATAAAGTTTTTTTCTTATATATATATATTTACATATAATCTCACAAAATAATTTTTCTCATAAAAAAATTAATAATTTATATGCAGAACTCTCAGAATATATATGAAAGTATATAATAAATATATATATAAAATTAACCTTAAATATTATTTTTTCTCTTTGTCTTGTAAAATATTTATTCATATAATTACCTGAAGATTCGAAATAACCTGCGGTTGTGCCTTGACGTGTATTAAAATGGAAAATAAAACTAAAACTGAACAGATGGTGTCATATCGAAGATTTGTCATCATTTCGCAAAACCGTCATTAGGTGCTCTTCCGTATTTCCAATTTATCTCATTAATATCCTAAATATCGATAGCGGCGGCGGTAGATACATAAGCGATAAGGAAGATACATTTAGGGGATCACAAGTATTCTAATGAATCGTGTCAATTTCTTCGAGAAGTCTCACGTCTATGTCACACTTTGCTACGCTCACATATGGTAATGCTTCTTTAATTAAACCAGTATCACTCAGAACCATGTGTTATATAATGATGTCTGTTATCTACAATGTCTATTATTTTTCTAATTACGGACACATTTATTATTGCAACAATGTCTTGAGAAATCGCACGTTTCCAACAAGTGGCATCAGACATGACGCCATAATATTTTGATACATGTTTTACCGACATATGTCTCTTGTGCGTGAATTCTTAAAATTTGTGTAACTTCGATTGATGGTACAAGTTGAGAACAGTTTCATATTGTGTACGTGTAAAGGCGCTACCTGTATTGTTCTGTCACTTTTCATTAATGGAATATTTGTGTAAATCATTTTAATATAAGATCTTTTTTTCTATAATTTTTTAAAATTTTTATTAGCGTTAAATATATCGTTTAAATTTAAATTAAATTCCTCTATCAAAGTATAAATTCAAAATTACATATATAATCAAAAAGTATGATGGTCTTTATGATCTTCTAACATTTATATTTTATTATTTTATTCAAAAGTTATTTAATATTATATATTGTATATTTTCTGAATAGATGATTTTTTTTACATAGTAGACTATATCGGTATTTTTTAAGTTTCATAAATCATCTAAATTTATATAAATATTATAATTAACATTAAAACTATAAATCTCTGAATTATTTAACAAGTTCATTTGTTGAGTTTTACAAGATTGTTATTCATATTTCACAATTCTTCGTATTATTATTCGCTGATGTTTTAGCTTACCCAACAACTTTGACAACAAAAACGCAGAGAAATGTAACTTTCAGTATTGCAATTATTTTTGCTTCATAGTTCTTGATAGAAGTTTTATTGCAATTGTTTTTGTTATAATTAAAATTGAATTATGGTAACTATCTTTTTTCCATATACAAATACAAATCATGTAACCTAACCATTATTTTTTAAAATTAGTTTAAATATGTGTAGATATCTCATATATAATTTTTTTGAACAATTCATACATATGAGGTATCTACATTTATTTATAAACTAATTTTAAAAAATAATGAAATAATTATATGGTTATATATTTATATATGGAAAAAAGATAGTTACCATAATTCAATTTTGATTATAACAAAAATAATTGTAATAAAACTTCCATTCTGTTTTATTATATATTATATTTTATAATATATAATATATAATAACTAAAATATAATATCGTAAAAAAATCTGTGCACAATTATATGTATCAAATTATATGAATTGATTTATATTTGATTTATATTTTTTCAGTAGGAATTAAAACATGTGCAAAATATAATTTATATCAGTTATACTGCCAATCTTGAATTAAATATATTCTACATAATATTTTATATATAACTTGAGATGACGCATAATTGTGAGCGAGATTTTCTTGTGATTAAAGATCTGAGGCTTAGGTTTTTCGAAAATTTTTATTATAGATTTGCCAATATAATTCACCCTTCCCCCTAATTTTTGTACAAATGAAAAGCCTCAGTGTTTGAATGTTTCGCAATCCAATACAATCTACATCCGCCAGACTGCTGGAATTCGTCGCGAGAATTTCCCATCATGGTTTCGTCTGGAAGGCCTGAGTTTATATCGGAATCAATGCAGTCTCGTTCGATCATGTCCGACATTCCTTGTGCAAACTTCCTTGCATGCCTTGTCGAATACGCGAATACATAATTTTGCCTATTGGCTTATTTTCATATCAGGTACAATTAAATTCGTGATTAAACTTTTTATTCTTAATGTACCAAGAGAGTTGGAAAAAGAAACTTTGCTCCTCGAATATGGCTGGGGGATAAAACTTTCAAATCGCCGAGGTACATATCCGTAAAAGAGCGAGAGCATTTAGAATAATAAGGCCTCGAGTTAATTAGAAAATGCATACTTTTTGCGACGAAGCAATTATATTTTTCCAAAAATGACTTTTCTGTCAATTAATTTCAAATCAAGATGATATCAATTCAAGCAAAGCACATGGCTGTGTCATTCGGGTTACGCAAACTTATAACGTGCATTGTTAATATAAATGATGCAACGTTCCAAACAATATGGTTATCATTGGGATGGCAATTGTCCTATTATATTCATTGTACTATCCATGTCATTTCGCGAAGTATACGCAAGATGCGTTAGAGTACTATCTGGGCGACTCAACAATGGTGGTGCTCATCCTTTCGCTAGATCGAGAGGGTCGATTCCGCATTCATGGCACTGTCTGCATCGACGTCGAGTTTTCACCTTAAATTGCAGACGACAGCGAGTTCTTTATTACGGTGAAAGAGAGCGGGATTGTCAGCTGTGAATAAGCATATAAAGAGATGTAGGACCTTTGGCGTTCCGCGCTGAAAAACTCACGTTCGATTACGAGCGACATCACGAGCCCTTCCCTGTCGTAGAACAACGAAAGGATTTGACAATCGTTTTGTTCTTCCCTGTTTTTTTTTTCGCTTTACCCTTCCCACTTCTCGCGCCTCCTTTCCGTTCACGATTCATTTATCTTCTTTTGGGGAACGGGTGAGAGAGACTAAGCTTGTAAATCCATTTAGTGCGGTCCTCAGGAAATAAAGAAATTCGACTGTCTCTATTTCTATGCTAAACAGTTAGGCGCGTCGAACAAATGTATTCGCAACAACTTTTACACCGTGGCTACGTCATCAATCTTTTGTTGTCCTCTCTTTTGTGTATTTTTTTTTATATTATTTTTATATTATTTTTATTATATTATATTTATGTTATATTTATTATATTTATATTATATTTGCATTTTTTAATATTATTTTTATATTATTTGAGTATTTTAAGCTGTACAATCTTTTGTAGACACAAAAGAAAGAATCTTTTTAGAAAGATTTCTAGTTTCGAGAAATGATATTTTATCAATGTAGATATTAATTTTGTTTTAAAGATAAACGATTAACAGAGCGCATTCGAAAAGAATATTCTTTCCTTCATCACTTAATTGTAATTTCCCTGCAGATATTCATTAATGAATAAATTTTATCGAACTTTGTTATCTGACGTTATTCTATCAAACATATAAGAATAATTTTCTCTTTTACTTTTCTTTAACTATACTTAAATTAAAAATGATAAATATTATATAATTCTAAGTATATACATATATATATACACATACGCGTGTACTTAATTAAAATAAAATAATATAATTGAAAAGACATATTTATATGTGATCTGGAGGAGGCTGTTCTCTGATATTGTGTTATCGAATATCGTTCTAATCTTCAAATATATCATTCCAATAATCTGTATGGATTTTTCCGGTTAGCAAGGAAAATCGACAGCGAAATGCAAACGCGCGCGCGGATGCAATTCGCAGAGATTCTTTAATCTCGCCGCGTGATTCGACGCGTATCTGTTGGCCGTTCGCGCAGATACAGCTGCCGCGTATCGAGTTCGGTTTCATGCGCTTTAACGTTTAAATCGCGAAATCGACGCCTGCCTTTGATAATCGCGGGCTAAACGGGAGCGCTATCTATCTCGGGTGGAAAATAGCGAATGCAATTCCACACGTCACATAGGGAGATGGCCTTAATATTTATAAAATATAAATTATATTAATAATTTATATTTTATAAATATTAGGTTATTTTATAAAATATTTATAAAATAAATATTTATAAAATCAATATTTATAATATTTATAAATTTATAATATTTATAAAATAAATATTTATAAAATCAAAATTATATAATGAAAAGATTTGAAGCGAACATGAAATACTTCATTTTCAAAATTTTAATAAGTTTTTGGCTTTGTTCCAAAGACTTTGTGGTATGTCTGAAAAAAAATTTTGACAATTAAATGTAAAGAATAACTTTTCGAATATTTTTATGAGGATTTTTTATTCACGTTATTATATCGTAAAATTAATTAAAAACTTTTTATTTTAATCTATTTGTGAGTACTTTTAGAATATCTTTTCATGTAATTTTTAAAGATGCAATAGAATTCTTTAGAAAGCTTCTAAGAAAAAAAATTTAATTTGTAACAAATCTTTGCAAGATTTCCACTGGAAAAGTGAAAAATTGCGAGAACCTTTTCGCAATATTTTTGCATGTTTCTACATGCGATCTATCATCTTAAAAAGTGAGAAGAGATTAAAAGAAAATTAAAAATTATGAAATAATATTAAGTATATTGGAGGCCGCGTTGAAATCTCGGTCAACAAATTTCGGTTTTCAAGAAAATAAATTTTGCTAAAGGAAAGTTATCCTATTGAAAACACTATCGATCGATAACGTATGCAGCTCGCTCATAATAAATTATCTAGATACGAAAAGAGCGAAATAGCAATCCGACTGATAATTTTAGCAAGAATATATTAAGATTGCCAACAATTCTTTATGCGAAATATACACGCAATATTTTGTCATTTACTTCACTTATATGTCAAAGTTCTTTTTCAGACATTTTATAAATTTCTTCAATTATACCTACTATTTTAAATTAACTTAATTAATTTAATTTTATTAGGCTTTTAAGTAAGAATAATAATTCATTCTTCTTATTATCTTTGTCACCGAAACTTGTAAACACAAATGGGAAAAAGACAAATCCGAGAATCATCGTGGATAATCTGCTGAATGTATCGTTGCTCGGATAAGCGTTAACGCGAGTAATAAAAGGTAAGCAGGGACACAAAGAGTAAGTGCGGACTCAAGCTAGCGTGATAACCGTGAAGGTCAGAATTTCTCCCCCCATAGAAAGATTAACAGGGTGCACTCTTGTAGCGGCGAGAAGGGCGTTATTACGTTATGCCGTGCCGCGAAAATTAATTACAAACTTCGCCGTGTTCCGCAAGGGCGTGTAAAAGTGGTGAGGCGGAAAACAGAGAGACGGAGAGGAAAAAAAAAAGATATTATTGCGCACGAGAGAGAAACTCTTTGCATCTGCATATGCGCGCGCAACATCGTTGTGTCGTCGGCATCGTGGTATATTTACAGAACGGAGAGGGTTAAGGACTTCACACACACACAAACTCAAATATGTACACACACTCTTACAGTTCCATTCTGTAAGCTGTAAGCTTGTAAGCTGTATCATTCTTTCGCGCAGCTCCGAGACTTCGATGAATAATTTCGCTGACGTCCCGGCGGATTTTACGGTGCATCGCGCAATTTGCACATCCGCGATCCAAATAAAAGTCTTGTC